AATATTTATACCGTACTGAGATGTCACTACATATGGGAAATTGGTAGACGCAGAACCCTGAACAGGATAATTGGGATATTGGGTAACTGGAGAACTTATAGTGAACTAATTTGTTAATTATTATTATTACTGTTAAATGTTGCATTCTCTTTTTTTCGAATAATGATACAGTGTGTCACATCATGTAGTTAGGCCCGGTGTTAATTAATGTGAATCTGTATTTAGTAACTACTTTAAAAAGTTGATTGCGCTATCACTATAAGCCTAATTAATTACAGACCCATGAAGTGTTACCAGTTAGATGTCTACCATTCAATACGGGTTTCTAAAATAAGTTATACATATAAACACCACCACATAAAACTCGGGTTTCGAACTCATGGTCATGACAATTGCCACGCCATGCTCGCAGTGCCCCAAAGAAGAGTCAGTTCGAAATGACGTATATGTAACAGCGCCCACAACGACAAGATGGCAATGCACAAGAAGAATGTTTGACAATACAGACAAGTATATAGCTATTCAGTCAAGGTTCGAATGGATTTTAATTGTTACAATTGACCACAGAGACATATGTATCTGTCCACCGACAAAATCCACTCAAATTATTAAATTATACTTGCAAATAGACAGACAAACTATTACAACATGAAACACGGGATTCGAACTCCCTATCACAGTAATTGCCTAGCCACTGCAGAGGACAAATAACGCAGTTGTAAATGACGTATAGTAAACACTGCTCACAGCAACTAAATGGTAATGCACAAGTCGAATATGCGACATCGTAACATTCAAATGTTTGTAGTGCATTTTGTGAATTGCACCACTTCAATTATGGGTAACTTTCAACCTCACAATGTCACATGGTGTTTTAAGCACATTTCAAATTTACCGATTTTTGAATATGACTATAATATATTCTTTACGCTGTCGGTGACATTATCCGTATGTTTAACATATGTTGGACATATTTTTATAACTTGAAAGGTAGCAGTTTGTCTTCTTTCTTGGTCTGATACAATGGCTGCCGTGATTTCGTTTGGAACCACGAGACTTGATTTTCTCCTCATATAGTGCTCAAGTCTCCCAGTTTATCGCGTCTTCTAATTTTAAAAAGAATAAAACACTACTGTTTAGGCAATTTGCTTATAATATAAGGTCTATTTATTTGTAAGAATTCTGAAAAAAATGCAAAAATTTAAAAACAATCCTAAATTCAATATCTCGACTGCATATTTATTTGATTATTAGTGTATTATCAGACAGATAATTAAAAAAATGTTGGTAGGTACGACTGCCAATGAGACAATCATAGCGATTCTGTCGTTGTCACGTAAACTGTCTATTTGATTATGACACGAGAGAGGCAGGTGTCACGTAGGAAGAAAGACATAATGAGTTCATTTAAAACACCTGTCATCCTTCTTGTTCTTGATATAGTTGTGAGATTTACTCAGATATCGAATCAGGTCATCACATGCACGTCTACATAATACCTGACACAATCATTAAGAACAGCTTATGAATCACATCTAATGTGTTGCCACGTTTTGACAATACACCTGAAGCTTACCTCGGGTTTACAAGAGTGAAAATCCTGTTACATAAATGTAATTGTGCCACCTCTTATATATCACCCATTCACAAGACATGTACAAGAACCATGCACATTATTATCTATCATAATTATCACATATTCAGTCACATCTCTAAGCCATTACAAGAAGGCAAATAAGCATATGATATCCGCTCACATACAATATATGCCGAACATTTAATGCGACGGCTACTAATTATTATATAAATAGATTATATTTGATAATTAATGTCAAAATAGCTAGACGTTTCGAGCAATGGCACTTGACCTTGAGATTGGGAACAATTATAATCAGCTGTTTTAGTGTTAAAAAAGATAAAAAATACGATTGTCGTTGACTCTAGTAGAAAAAACATTACTAATATCTCGTGTGCGTATTGTATAATCGGATTGAATTTATTCGAAAGGTTTAATGACATACAATAATTCATCGCGACCAGAGTCTGGTATCATACCATTATATATGTTCCTTGTATATGTTCCCGCAAAAAAATTATTCAATCCTCCTGATAAGAATAAACTCGCATAGCTTGAACCAAAACGACTACCAATTGCAACTTCTCGTTTCTGTTTAAAAAAAACATCACCATATTATAAAAAAAAAACAAGACAAAAGTGGAAGGTTTCATCACTGCACTCATACAAATATATAACAATAAATGGTGGGATATCCATGGAAAATAAATATTATTCAGTAATAACTTGAAATAACTCGTCTTCTCGGCGCAGTAGTAGCATTCTGTAGCATTGCTTTTGAGCACAGCAAAGTAAATCGGTATTTATGGTCTTCGAAGAACAAGACTTTTAGCCGTTAGCATTGTAACCATTTATTACAGTTACTGCTGGTACAGTGACGAGACAGCCATAATCCAAAAGATGTACTCGCTACCGTGTTTGAAAATTATATGTCGGGGTTGCTAAATGAGGATAGTGTAATACGCTCTTTATATACTACACCATGATACCATCCTCTAGTTATTTGCAAATTTTTGCACGGTCACTCCGCACATAGAACATAGCATTCAGTATTTACCATGCATGACATATATTCATTATGTCGTCATTAAAATTATAATGAAAGTGTCTAGATTAAACTCAGAGGATACTTTATTTTCTTTCATCACTTTGATGCAGGATTGCCATTAACTTGGAAATTGGAAACTCGTCGTTTGAGGCGCTATTATCAAACGTTTAAGAGTCTATTTTAGTTTAGATACGTTACATAATCTGCCAAGAATAAGACCCCGTTTCCGTTTGTCCTATTTTTTATTTCAGTTCTTAGCGTTCTTAATTGTTTTGCATTTTAGAGTGCGGTATTTGAACCCATAAATCTGACATAATCCCACAACTAAACTCTCAAAGTGTGAAACTAACCAGACGAGTGCAGTGCAAAATGTGAAACTGGCGTGGAATGTTGCAAAACTAGATGCAAATTTGAACGTGTAAAGTTGTTTATTTTTATTTATTTATTTATTTATTTATTTATTTATTTATTTATTTATTTATTTATTTATTTATTTATTTATTTATTTATTTATTTACTTCACATGCCATGATATGTAAGTTTAATTCACCGGTTGATTTGCAGAAAATGAGCAACATAAATACAGGCTAGTTTTTCTATTATTTGATAACGAGTATTAATGCTATATTTCCTTTATTTAAAATTGTACAAAAGCGATTTTCAATCAAACAAATCATCCCAATTTGAAAATCATTGCAATGAACATCTCACAACCAGTCTGAGTGAATATTTAAAAATGTCATTAGAAACCAAAGAATGTAAAATCTCAGATAAAACGATCCCGCCATTTGTTCTTAATTATTAAAATAGATTCTGCCGGCGAATTAAATAAGACTCAGCGCTCTTTTCATGTGATTACAACGTGAGTGCTAAATAATTCCTGTTCTGTGTAACCATATCCGTGTTACCAAATCACGCATACACACAGTATACACTACAGGTCCATTTAAACACAGTCAGTAGAAGTAAGGTGTTTTACATTTGAAATTTATTACGAATACAGTTTTTACAAAATGTTTGATGATTAGCACTTTACATCAATTATAATATTATGCAAACTACGCAAGACATGGTATATATAACTATCGCATTATTCACAGCATAATAAATATACATTAAAACTGACTGCATTAACTTTCATCGTTTGCCTTGCATCGGCCTCTGATTTCAAGTTACATATTTATTTACATGCGTCAGATCTGACTAATCACAGACACACTACTGGGAATACTCCTCACGATTGAGAAAAAAACGACGACATTAATGCAACATTTAGTGTTTTGTACCATCGCCTGTAGTGAAGTGGATCTATGTAAATCAAACGTTCAATACATTCCGTGGAACGTATTAAAATACAAATCACGACACATCGTAATGTTGGATATTCAATGTAGACGATTACACAGCACGACATGTATTTACCATTCTATTGTACAGCAAATGTTATCAGGCAGCGTGGGATAAGATCAGCACCTTTATTTCATATTAGCTTGGAAATTAGTTTGGGTATATCATAAGAGACTTTGTTAAAACACAGCGAGTGTTGCGAGACGTATTGCCAAGCAACGATGTATTATAATCAGCTACATGTGACCACCACCAACATTGTACTATATCGAGAAAATAATATATAAAAATCAGTTCATGTAAAAGCGTTCTTAATAATAGTGAAAACAGTAAATGGATGTTCATGAAAATATTCATCGAACAACTGTTGGTTTAATTTAACCTGTGTGATATATATATTGATAATATGCGGCAGAAACTGGGCCTCAGGCACTGATTGCATCACATGCACTTAATAAATTAGGAAAAATATTTGACTAAACTTTTAAAATTGAACACACGTGAAGACTATGCAAACACACACTATGGGTGCCATGTATGTACAGTGTTAGACTACTCTGCATTCAAGTGTAATCCGTCCTTGTCACTCAATGACTCGTTCAAAACAAAACAAACAGAGATTCGTGACCATCGGCAATACTGATCTACGCCCATGTTAGGCTCGTGCATTTTTAGTGTATTGGTGGCGTATTGTCTTAGCATGCAAATATTCTATTGAATATCTGAAAAATGGTGTCAAACAGCATATTCTGAAAAAGTTATATATTCCTGAAAGCAATATTGAACAGACACGATTCGTATAATATCATACTTGATCGATGTTGCTTGGCAGATTGCACTGAGTGTCCTTTCCTGGAAGCAGTTTTGTGCCTTCCATTTGTGTCCATGAATACGGAGTTGAAAAGTTGTCACAAAGCAAAGACTTCTTAGCTGGGTTTATCACTATTTCGTGGAAACTTTTTCAGAACATAGCAGGCAATTTTGGTAAAATGTTCAATCCGTTGTATTTAGATTCTATATAATGCTGGTCTAAACTGACGACACGTCGACCCCGGGGTCGTGCAGTCCTACAATTAGGTTATTAACCTTGCCATTCTCGCCAATCAACCCGGGTTTAAAATCCAGATGGTCATCACACTGGTCACATCGATTCACGCCATTAAGCGAGGCGTTCGCCTCCGGCTCTACTGTCCTCATTTTCAATATATTCCTGGGCTGTAAAATAAAAATTAACAAATCAACGGAACAATAAATATTCTGTGAAACAATGAATAATATTATTATATTACCAACAACTCATTTTAAACAGATATTTCGCATTGTTCAACAGCTGTGATTGATATTTATTTGAGTCCCAGGTTTTGTTTTTCAAAGAGAAACCTGATGGCGAGTCATTAGGCATACATATATTAATTTTATTGTACAATTTACTATGTTTTACAGCAACCCTATTCCGTTCCAAAAATGTAACGAAAGAATTTATTTATCATAACTATGATTCAGTCAGTAAATATATCAAGCAACAAACCAACACACTTGGACTTGTGTGGTGTGAATGACGCATATATAATCGACAACACGCACATCCATTTAGAAGTTCGATCGATTAATAAATATATAATACAATAAAGTATCACAACAAGTGGGGTCAGATTGGATTTTGCCAAAAACATAAATGCGTGTTGATCTCTACGTGTGCGACGACTCGCTTTGTTACCTCCTAGTCTGACGATCGCGACAGCTAGATTTATACGTACATCGACAGATTTGATTAGCAGCTCTAATCAGACGGAAACCTGTAACTTATGTTAGCAGATGATACCCACAGTTAATTACTCCAAATTATCAAATCAGATGGGACAAGCAAATGCATCACTGATATCGACTACATTGTGGACTTGTTTTCGTTAAACGATTCAAGAAGTAAGTGCTACAGTTAATACTGGAGTATATGCTCTTCTACACGATGTCATAACCAGAAATATAAAAGCATGCAAGTAAGAAGAATGAAACACATTATGCACAGATGAAGATGGAGTTATACGTAGGCATATCATGCATTAAAATGCCAGTTCTCATTATGCAAAATATCAAAATATCAAATATCAATTTACCACCCCCAAATTTGACCAAATACACTTTTAAAAAATGATGAATTAATGTCATTCCTTTTCCACATTTTGGGTAGAGCATTATCAGAATAGAGGTGTTAGTGTTATGATGAGACGGTGAAAGATTAGGAACGTACGATAGACAGAAATTATACAGTGCATATTTGGCCTTGGAAGGTCACAGTACCGTCTCCTTCGTTGTTCCAGTTTGGTTACCAAATGATGACTGGCCTCTGGTGTGTGGGCGCATATGCCCGTTATCGCTTCTCAGACAACTTGGACAGCATTTATTAGAGAACAACTCAGCAAAGCCTTTGCGATAGTTCTCGTTGAATCCACAGTAAATTATGGGGTTCATTGCACTGTTAGCATAACCTAACCATATGCAGAAGAATACAATTTGTTTTCGTGCGGCAGACGACAGCTAGAAGTGAGAACAAAGAGAAACCACTGTGAGCTGTGATAATATTATCTGTAAAACAACTCAGTTAAGCAAGGAGTTGTTTTAACATAGTTAACACAAGTCTGATTTGAAGTCTGATTTTGTTTGTCATTACCGTTTCGATAAAAACAAATTTAAACTGTATAATTAAATTAAGGAAATTTTAATAGAGAGTGAGATATTTTCTAATTGAAATTTAACATGTGAAATATATACTTATTCTTGTTTTCAGTACATTGTAAAATGTGTGTATGTGCGTGAGAAACGTCCGAATCGAATGTGGCCAGCATTTCTCAATATTAGTACACACCGCACATGAAAGATAATATGTGCCAGGGTAATGTTAATGTGTGTAGGCAATATGTACTTGAACTTTTATGAAAACAGCAATGTACCACAAATGCATATCCTAAATATTATTTAAAAAAGAACGGTTCCAGTTCCAGTAAGATCAAGTCTTCATTTGATGAGTAGAAAATTAGACTTGTCATTAGTTGAATGCAGCAACGTTTTAGAATCATGTGCGCTATTTTGTGGGTAGACGTTGTACCAGTTTTGCCCTAAAACGGTCATAATTTTGTTTTAATTTTTCATTTACGCCAAATTACTGCATATACTTACGTGTACCTAAAGGAATTAAATGGATACTCTAAGTTTATATGAATAATATGAATAATGACTTCTTCGGAGCATTCAGAAATTAGTTCAGACGCGTTTTAGGTGATATTTGAATTATAGGCGGTGAGCTCCTATTCCGCAGCCGCTGACAAATTAATAATAATTGAATGCGTTAAAATGAATAACAATTAACACAAGTGTTCCAACATAGAGATTTTAAATCCAACATATCTCATTATATATTGTTATCGACAACGTACGTCATTAAAAGTGTTATACTAATTAATTCAATTCCATGAGCTTTGCAACAATAACGGAGAATGACATTCAAACTGTTATATTATAAACAGTTAACAGTTACTTTTTTCAAATGCTGCTACTAAACCAAATGCAACCTAACTCGTTGTGTCGTCACAGGGAGCGTTTTTTCAGCACAGATCTATATCTTATGACGTCTTGCTAGCCGATTTTGTCTATAAAAAGCGCTCCGCGACCTTTTTACACTAATGTTCAAACACGAAACTCGATACTTCTTTTTACGATTTAAGTTGCTTTTTAATAAAATATTTTAGTGAAACGTTCTTTTGTGAGAAAAATATTATTGTCATACGTAATTCAATCTTTGGAATAGCAGGAATTAACTCATAATACGATAATAGAATTTGTGTTTGAAGTTCGAAATTGCCCGTGTAATTTCGGTTTCAACTCAATCCCCCACAAAGAGTTCTATTTCTACGATTATGAATCTGTCACCACGAGATCTTATACTTGTCGTTAATTGGTCGATGCGTCACAGTGGTGTTACTTTCAGAGACGCCCACGAAAACATTAATGAATGAACGCTGCTCGCACTGATAGATATGATATAAAGTAAATAATATTTTGTAATCGTTGTTCTAAAAGTTACTAATAAAAATATCTAGACGTCTCCATACATGAAATGCAATATACAACATTCCTCGACATCTCCTATGGGACCAAAGACACTATTAGAATCAGTAATAAAAGGACAAGCCGGTAGGCTGGTTGGCAAACCGCTTGGCTGTTTTCATGGTTTGACATAAACGTGAAGCTAACGTCGGTTTATAACGGGCCCCGTTATAATGGGCCCCGTATACGAAATTCGCAAATACCATTCAGTCGTTAGAAGTCACTTAGTTTATTACTAGGATGACGTATTCTGCTGTTACATTTATTATTTCCAACCGTTTTGCGATAGTATTTTCTAGAATGAAGGCAGCATTTACAGTTCATTCAAAGTTTAAAGTTGCGTTGGAATTACGTTGATACAGTGTAACAATGTCGGCGCCGGTGCGCAATGTAGCCAAAATAAAAAGCATAATCTTTTGAACACAAAACTGGTAGGAGGTTATACATTTGGGCGATGGCAGTGGTGGGCCAGAATTTCTTTCCAATTAGTGACTGTACGACCTACCTGTGAAGTATGAACGAATTCAGCCGAGCCAAAAAAATTAAAAGTTAAAAGCCGTTGCTGGTGAAAATTTTCTCGGTTATGAAAAAAGATATCAAAAATTCAAATAGTAACTTTGTGTCCACACTCAAGCTGAGTAGTATGAGCTATGTCTGAAGTGTTTTATCCTAAATTTATAGGAGGAGATACATTTGGCGCGAAGTTATCCAAAAATCAGTTTTTTGGGCCGTTGCAATGGCAACGGTGGGCCAAAAAAAAATTCTTATTTTTCCTAATAACTAGGGTGAAGATGTGACCTAACTGCGTTTGAGCGAAATCGGCCAAGCCAAAAAATCACATAAGAAATAATACGTGAAAACACTGGAAATCACACATACAAAAAACGACAAAAGTGATTATAAGGGCATTTCTAGCGGAGCGGATCGCCAATAAGTATTACACCTGGGTCGATTACATGGGACAGAACGATATTTCTCGGTGTCTCCTCTTTCCCCAGTATGAACCAATAACCCTCTCAAATGTTGTTTATTTGGAATAGTTACCTAGGACAACGATTACCAAATATTATCTACTTTACATCAAATTATTGCAACGCTGATGTTCGATTTTCGAACCCGACGCGTAGTAAAAGACTTGTTGCGTTTCACCACAAAATGACGGTGTGTGGTTGTACAGCAACTTAACTGATCGTGGTACAATTTAACTGTATAGTTCTTGGTGGAGTATAATAATCAATATTTTTATATTTAAGTAATATATAATAATTCTCACACGGCAAGAGTACACCCAGAAAATCGAGCTGTCAAATACAAAAATAATCCTTGCACAAACGGAAGGAATCTTTTAATATCATTTTAATAATTTAATGATATCCAACGGTTAATAAGCTAAGCTGTATTCGATGACATTTTATAAACATGCTTTCAGGCATTAACGACAATCCGGGTAACCTCCTCAATCTTGGATTGAAACCGTTGAACATAGTGACTGATTTCAACTCTATATATTTAATTAGCTAATAGTGTAATATTTCAGCAATAAAGCTATGGTTTCTTACAATCGTCTTAGTAGCATTGACGTCTGATATCTAGTAGCAAGGACATTGCTTTAAAATATTAACTGAACCAGCATACTAATATCTGTGCGTACTTTACTGTCAATTGAATGTCAATTAAAACCGGTATTGCGACTAATACACGAACATTGTTGAATTCGATTTAATATCGGTCATACCCAAAATGACAGAAAAACGTTTAATCGCTCAAATTAAACACACGCCCAGGGGTAGAAAAATACAATTAAAGTAAACAAGTGAACAAATCAGTGAGATATTGACTAAGGTTGTGAAAATATACTTCTAGCCTAAAACACGTTTTTTGTACAACAGTGAGCATTGTATCGATATGGTGGTAGTGCACGTCCACTTTCAGTGAGCATTGCACTGAGCTGATGTGAGTGCTTGTCATAAACTTGTGAGTATCGTATTGTTTTGGTGTGAGTTTTTGTAAAACTTGTGATCATTGCAGTCAGCTGGTGTAAGTGCATGTCCAGAAAATTGTGAGCATTGCATTTGGTGTGAGGGTACAATTAATGTTCACGCGATTGATCACAATGATTGTTATATTAGTAATATGTTCTGCTACCAGCGGGCATTAGTCATCAGAGCTAATTGGTCCAATTACCTAACACAAAGTGAATCAATTGCTTGTTTGGCACTACACGAAATGATCATAGGGCAATTTGTGTTGAGTACCAGCAACAGCTGTGCGTCTAATTGATAAGAATGAGTGGTACTCTCAAAAAATATATCAACTTTGACCCTGATATATATGACATGGTGAAGGGCGATATTAATAACTGTCCGCTGTTCAAAGAAACTGACAAGGTGAGTTACAACTACAATCATACGTTACCTCGAATATCATATAAATCAGTCACTGGTGATTGCGTATTATAATGACGAACAGTTAAATTACGACTCACTTGCACGGAAAGAAAATTACTGTGTTTGAAACGTGATCCGTAATCGTATCGTTTTTATAACGTGTTATTTGTGTTGTGTGCGAAAACACATAATAATTTTTTTTTCATGAATATCAGGTGTCCAATGCAATGTCACACACATGTATGTAAATGTATTTTACTTGACAGTACACGTGTGTTGTTAATGATGGACAAAATATCAGTTGCCATGATACTTAAATTTATTTCAATAAATTCAGATCGCCTTTTCATATAATATAATATATTATATCAAATAATATCGCTAATCACGGAAACATATAGTGTATTGTACATTGTCAACTGATAAAATTGTGATGACGCAGAGGAAAATAAGACTTACACACTTTCATACAACTTGCAATATTATTCAATGACATGATATAAATGCAACGGTAAGCCTCTGCCAAATAGGTTACCATACAGCGTTCAAACCACACTATCGCCTCTGTAGAATCTTGCTATTAAGTATTTTAAACAGAGTTATAACAATGAAAGGGCTCTGTCATTTCAAATAAAGGAAAATGAATTGGCATGTGTATAGAAGATTTACATAGAAATAAAATGATTATATTATTATGTCAAAACTATCTGATCTAAACACATTGTCTAGTCCGACTCACGATCCTGACAGCGACAATAAAACATCGGCGTTGATTTACACATTCGTATGCTTCAAAGTAATTGCATCGTGTAAGTTTATTACGTTGATCTATGTGCAATTATCAGCTGTCTGATGAGTTTTTACGCATCATTCCAACGCTAATTGGTCTAGGTTATCACCAATAATTAGGTATTTCCAATATTGTCGGCAAAATTCAATCATATGATATGTATTTAAACGGCTGAAACAACACACTCTTAACCGTAGTAATACATCTATCTGACAAGTATGTCACTACAGTGAACACATAAAATGTGGCGTGTAGTG